AAAATTAATGAATAATTCCTCTTTCCTTATCCTTTCCTTTTCTACAAATATTGATATTAAAGCCTAAGGCAATATCGTTATCGCTTTTATAAGATTACTTTTGTTCTTAACAAGCGAATTAATTGATCGGAGATCGGCGTACTCCTGATATCAATACGAATGGATTAACATTAAGATTAGTACATATAAATATAATAGTGGTACTTATAATTCAGATATTTAGGAGAATATATCTTTATTAAGAATTATTTGGAATAGATCTTTTTCTTATAAATAATATCAAATTAATATAATTCATTTAAGAAGATATTAAATTATAAAATATTATTTAATCAACTATCAGATAATTATATAATTATATAATGAATTATAAATAATATAACACTTTATTATAAAAAAATTGTAAAAGTAGAGTACAATTTATCCTTAAAATCTATAACTATAGAATCGAGAGCAAAGTACTCATAAAGCGTACCTATATATTAGCTATGTACACATAATCGTGTATATGCGCGTATGCGCATATGAGCGATCGCAGTTGCGATTGGGGCCGATCCGTGACACCCCCCTTTTTCGATTTAAATTAATAAATCTTTCAAACCCCTCACAATCTAACTAAAGCTCTTTCTCAATTAATATTAATTAAATCTTGAATAACTTATTATCAAGCAAGCTTCCCTACACCTATATTTAAGATTATATTAGCTTTAATTAAGGGTATAAAAAGATTAGCTTATAAAAATATACTTTTAAATACAAAGAATTATATATTTCAAATAATAAATAAAGTATTAAACAAACATTAATATACAAAAAAACTCAATTATATTAAGAGAAAATACTTACTAAATAAAAGACTTTTAATATATTATCTCAATAAAAAATTGATATTCAAATTCAATATAATAAATATCAAAAAGAAAGGAATTCTAATAAAAAAGTATTTTCTAATTAATATTATAATAAATACAAAAAGACAGATTATAATATAAAAACCTATCAAAATAATATAATAGATTCTAAATTATTAAATTCTTAATAGTTTTAATTAATTGATTTAATTGTTATTAAATAATATAACTTTAAAGTAACAATTTAAGGTAAAAGTGATCAATCCACTAATATAACCGACCCACTGATAAACTACGTTACATATAATTCAAATTATTTTAAACGTTTTCTGAGATTTTCTGATTTTTCTGATTTTTCTGAATTGAAATCTAAAGTCTCAAAATATCGATTTTTAAGTTTATATAAAAATTATATATAAACTTAAAATTATTTTTAAATGTTTAATAACTTTTCAATCACAATTGATAAAAAGAAAATAATTAATTTTTGAAGATTTTATACTGAAATTTTTATAAAGATTCTTTGAAAGATTTGAAAAAATAAATAGTTATAGAGATATATATTAGATAAAGATTAATAATATTTATAATTTCAAAAGTATTTCTATAAATATTTATTTACTAGAATTTCCTTAATGTCCTTGATTTCCTTGAATCATTTAGATTCAATATATTAAAATTTCATATTAAAACTCATAATTTATTTTTAGTGATTTTTAGTAAAGTTTTAAATTTATATATCATTTCTGTAAAAATTTAAAAATCGATATTTTGAAGCCTTAGAAATCGATTTAGCAAAATCCTAAAGATCTGAAAATTCCAGAATAAGCCTAAAATGATCTAAATTATATATATATGTAAGTTTTCAATAAATTCTATTTATTAATAAGAAAGTCAAAAAGGTTAATTTTGAGGTGAAAAGGTGGCCCAAAACAGGAGTGGCCAGAAAATGAGGTACCCGACTTACTCCTCCACCTTCTCATGTCTAATAAGATGACAAGCTCTTGCTGCAATCAATCAATATCAATCATTCACCACGTCATAAGATATGTTTCTTACGGAAGTATTTTCTTCCGATATTTGTTCTACTTGTTTCAATGCCGCCCGCCTTTCTTGTTGTTAGTAAATGCCATGTTGTCAGTATTCAATAAGTCAACTACCCCACTTTCCGACCACCCCCTCTTTTCGACCACCTCAAAAACCACACCGCTTTGAGTAATTATAAAATTTATACTTTGAATAACTCAACAATGCTTTAATCAATTGATTTGAAATTTTGATATTATTATAATTGTGATATGAAGAATAGATATACCGAAGAAGATATCGCAGAGGCTCTTAGAGCGATTACAAATGGAGCAAGCATACGAAGAGCTAGCTTGGATTATGGTGTTCCACGTACCACACTTCACGATCGAATATATGGTGGAGTTTCGCATCAAAAAGGCGCCCAAATACTTCAAAAGTTATCTCCAATTCAGGAGAATCGACTAGCAGAATGGATATTAGTACAGGAAGCTCTTGGTACTAGCCCTACACATCGTCAAATCAGAGAGATGGCAGAGCACCTCCTTATTGTACGAGGGGAGGATCCCTCACTTGGAAAGAAATGGATACATAGCTTTTTTCGAAGGCATCCTAATATTGGAACTAAGAAGCAACATCAAATCGATTCTGCACGAGTTTCAGGTGCTACATCTGATATTATTAAGAAGTGGTTCCGGAACCTCGCAATCCCTGAAATCAAGGCTATTAAGCCGGCCAACAGATGGAATATGGATGAAGCAGGTATAATGGAGGGTCAGGGTCTTAATGGACTAGTAGTAGGAAGCACTGATCGAAGATTTATTCAAAAAAAGCAACCTGGATCTCGAATTTGGACCTCTTTTATAGAATGCATTTCAGCCAATGGAAAAAGCATTACTCCCCTTGTAATATATAAGGGAAAATCAGTTCAACAACAATGGTTTCCAACAGATTTGACTCTATTCAAGGGTTGGAACTTTACCGCTACAGAAAATGGATGGACTACAGATGCTACAGCTTTAGAATGGCTGAAAAAGATCTATATCCCTCAAACCACCCCTATTCAGCCGGAAAATTCAAGACTCCTCATTTTGGACGGACACGGAAGCCATGAAACTACAGCATTTATGTTAGAATGCTTTAATAACAACATATATCTCTTATTTCTCCCACCACATACGTCACACGTACTACAACCACTCGATTTATCTGTGTTCTCACCCCTAAAAAGTGCATATCGAATCGAACTTAATAAATTAAGTCTATTATCCGATTCCTCACCAATTGGAAAGCGCAATTTCCTTTCTTGCTACCAGAAGGCTAGAATAGAAGGTTTAACTATTCAAAATATCAAGTCTGGGTGGCAAGCTAGTGGTCTTTGGCCCAAAAATATGGCTAAACCTCTTATGAGTCGACTTTTGCTTGAAAATAGCAATAGAGAGGTTTTATCACTTAATCCTGAATCTGATGATGATCCTATTCTTCAATGGAATATATATTCATCGTTTATTCAATGGAAAACCCCTCAAAAAGGAGCCGATATCAGAAAATATAGAGATATAATGATTCAAGAGAAGGAGATCGATTTGCCAACACGAAGATTACTATTTCGCAAGATTATAAAAGGATTCGATGCTAAGGATTATGAACTCTTAGAGGCAGAGAATAAGATTAGAAAGCTAGAATATCAATTAGATGAAGCATTACCTAGAAAAAGGCGAAAGGTTGTGGTATCTCCAAATTCGAAGTTCGCAGGGATTAGAGCTATAAGGCGTACACAAATTGAAGCTGGAGATCGTGAAGATGAGGTAGATGATAGCTCTAGTGCTATAGAAAGTGATTCTACAGGCGATTTCATTGAAGTTCAATAGTTATTGAGTTATTAAAGTTTTAAGTGTAGATAATATGAATTTTTTAGGTGGTCGGAAACAGGGGGTGGTCGGAAAGTGGGGTAGTTGACTTATGTTACATGTTTACAAATGGACGGAGGAAACTCAAGGTCGATAGGTATCTACTACTCATGATTATGAAATAAGAGATTCTCCTGCGTACTGAATGTGGGTAAAAGTCACTCAATCACTAGGTGTCGGAGTGTCATATTTCCCGGTTTGATCTCACTGGGGACATTCAAATAATTGCAAGTGCTGATAGTGTAACCATGGCAATAGCAAAAAGTGATCGTGGTGGTACTCAAAATTCCTAACCAAATGATCCTGATTTTATTACAAACCAACTTTATTCCAATTTGTTCCTCGATTATTGTTCTGTCTTTGAGGGATTTTTCTATTCTTATTTCATTACATATGCGTCGGAAGAAATTCTTTTGTTCCTAATCCAGCTTGAGGATAACTAATTCCTCGTTGCGTGAAGTTTCAACGATCGGAAAATAACTCGGAAACTTGTGTCTTTCTTAATGCTGTTCAGTTACCGTTGATATGTCGAATGTATCTCGAGTTGAGTCAGAAACGCTGAGCCCTTGATGCATTTTCGTAAGATACCATACCAGTCAGATGGCAAGTCCCTTGTATGACGGGGGTTGGAAAGAACCAATGTACATAGCTTAACTTGGTAAAACTTTATTCTAAGTAATTGACGATCAGATAATGCATCGAAATCTGACATTATCTCACACTGTTGGACAAAACTATCCAATTGATCACAGTATTATTTTCCGCCCAAAAAGTCTCTTGTCCTACCCCCCTCATGTAACTCGTCTAACATTCCCAATAATGATTACGCTTTGTACGAGGCGATAGATCATAAATATATAGAAAATTACTCAGGTGAGTCAATGACAACTTTTATTCATTTATCAATCCCCCCCGAGTGGTGAGCTGGTCCTTTTGCACGTGTAATAAACTACACCGAAGAGCATGGGACGGGAAGAGACGATCTAGGATTCACCCTATGGGCTGTTAAACCCGACGCCATCTGATAAGGCAGCATTGTGTTGGAAGGTACAGATCTACTTTACGAGAACAATTTGGATGATGGTCAAGATAATAGATTTCATTAGCTTGTTTCTGAGACTCTTATCTTTAGGTTCATCAGTTCATCGATGAGAATCTGACCCTGATCCTTTTCTCGCTTTCTCCGTATTACCAACTTCCAAACTCGAAAGAGATGGCATACCTTTCTTATATCGAACCAGGGCTTGACACCATACTTCCTCTCTCCATCTTTATATTCATTCTCAACTTAATCCGCGACCTTCTCGATTCCTTCCTCTATTGCGGACTCATTGGGGAAATATTTATCGGGGTTCTCTCTGGAATGCCTATCACTGGAACTTCATTTCTCAGCATAGAAATCCAAGAAACAGTACAATATCTCGGATATCTGGGGCTTATCTGTTTGGTGTTTGAAGGTGGCCTCATCACAGATCTTCATCTATTAAGGAAAACAATATGGTTAACATTGTTTGCTGCGATGATTGGAGTCCTGATGCCTATGGCTCTTTCATTTTTCATCTTGGGTATGAAATTCGATAGTATTGAAGGTTCAGGATATCCTACCGCATTAGCAGCTTTTTCAGCAGGAGTATCTCTTTGCTCCACATCTTTAGGGTCGACATTTATCATCCTCGCATCCGCAAACCTTCAGAAGACACCAACCGGTACTTTGATAGCTGGCACGGCAATGTTAGATGATATTCTTGTTCTGGTTATGGTTAAAATCATAACAGCACTCGGACAAGGCCAATCCGATTCTTGGACAATTGCCCGTCCTGCCATATCCAGTTTGAGCCTTATTATTGCCACTTTCTTGCTAACGCCCTTCCTTCTCAAAAGTTTGCTTCGCGGTTTCCATTCAATATTTACACATCCGAAAGTTGGCCAAGAAACTTTTGGTGGGGATATTGATACCGAAAAGGGGATTTCACGGCATGCTGGATTTTTATTATCGACTTTGGTGCTCATAGTTCTTGTAACTATTGCTGCTTGTGTAGAAGGTTCGATATTACTGTCTGCATTCTTAGCTGGTGCTGTGGTGAGATATACTTGGCAAAGTGTGGGTGGTGGAGAGGATATGGATATGGATGTTGATCGACCTACAATGATGTTTGAGGAGTACTATAAGCCGATTATGGATCATATATTAGTTCCTTTCTTCTTCGTAAGTGCTTTTACTACCTTTCCATATATCATACCTGATTTGTAAGGACTGAAAGAAACACACATTTAATACGAAATAGGCATCGATCGGTTTCTCCATCCCCGTTTCTGAAATGTTTTCTGGTTCTATCATGTGGAAAGGAATATTCTACGCTTTCTTGATGTTTTTAGCCAAAGCTTCCGTGGGAATAGTTGTCTACTTTAAATTCTTCACCACAAAGTGGTCTCACAAGTGGACAGACTCCAAAAAGAGAACACTTCCAGTACCAGAAGAACTTCCCCAACAAGGTGGCTCACCAGAAGAAATTCCTGCGAATGATCCCGTGGATCAAAAATTTAAAACAGACCCCCCTCATCTCGATGCAATTATAGTCGGGTCCACAATGATTGCTCGAGGAGGTTTTGGCTTCCTGGTAGCATCAGAAGCGCAGAGCTCGGGCACTTTAAGTCTTTCCAAAACGCCAACTAGGATCTTAAATGTGCAAGGTCTCTCGCACAAGGTTACTGAAAGATTTAGAACATTAGATGTAGTGGAAGATCAGATATTCTTGGTGATAATCTGGGCATTAGTTCTATGTACAATCGTTGGGCCGGTTGTTTCGGGAATTGCAGTGAGAAGAAAACTGATTAAGGAGAGGGCAGGAGAAAGATGTGAGTGCAGTTTCAACGTTAGGCAGAGAGATATTGGGACTGGGGATGACAGGGTAGGTGGATGTCACCTTTGCTTGTAAAGGTGCTTCAGTGAATTGAAGAGTAGATGAGAGAAGCAAGACGAAAGACGAAAAGTGTCGTGATGGAAGTCTGAGTTTGAGCGAAGCATTAAGCTGTGATCTTGAGTACGGGTCAATGGAAGCACTGTGAGGATTTCTTTCTCCTTGCGGAAAGGGGATAGTGGACGATGCTGGTTCCATATTACAATTTTATATTCGTTATAGACTGATTCATGGCGAAGCTTCGAAGATGTGTACTTTTGTATCAATCAATTTGGTGGAAAGAGCTGTAAATTTACCATGACAAGGTTTGTATTCCGGGAGAGAGAGGAAAAGATTAAATTTAAGTATCTCGTAAATACTTTCATTAGACACTTTGATGTTTTTTTTTTCATAACTAAATCATGGCTTGTATTTATCATTGGTCAATTTGTGACTTGTGAGTTAGAAGATGAAGACAAATTGATGACCGCTATCGAATTAATTTGAAAATCAAAATCTACTATAAATTCATTTATTAATATATTCTAGAAAAACTTTATAAAGTTTGTCTTATTTTTCTTTTATTTTAATAATGAAAATTTACAAAGTCTTTTAATAAAATATTAAAAAAAAGATCTTGAATATTAAATGAAAACTTTAATCTATTTTAAAAACATTTGAAAATGAAAATTAGTAAACAATTAATTTATTGATATTTTAGAGGAAAACTTTATGAGTTTTATTATAAAATAATGATATAAAAGGAAGGTAATAAAGCTTTTTTTTCAGAAAAATATTATATAATAAATTTTAGAATGTACTTGAAAATAAAAATTTATAATAAATTTATAAATTAATATATTTTTTAAAAGCTTAATAAGTTTTGTTTTATTATTATTTTATTAATGAGAGGTTATTAAGTTTCTTAATAAAATATTAATGAAAAACTTTAATTCACTTTGAATTGATTTTAGATGATGATATAATATGAATTAATTTATCGATATAGTTGAAAAAAACTTTTTAATTTTTAATTTATTTATATTTATAGGATAATAGATTATAAAGTTTTTTTAAAACAAGTGTTGTTAATGAATTTTGGATTTAGTGTTAAAAAAATTCATTTATTTTGAATGTAGTAGAAAGTGAAGTTCTAGAAAAAATTGATATATTAATATTTTTAAAGAAAACTTTATCATTTTTATTATCAAATAATATTATAGGTTAAAAGTTATAAAGTTTTTCAAAAGAATATTATATAAATAAAGTAGACTTTAATATAAGATATTAATTTATCTTGAATTTATTTGAAAAAGACTTCTATTATAAAATCATTTATTGATACTTTCTCGAAAAGCTTTATAACTTTCGTTTTATTAATATTTTATAAATAGAAAGTTATAAAGTTATTCGAAAGAGTATTATAGATATTTTCTTAATATTAATATATATAATCTTTTAAAGAATATTGATTTGTTTTAAATTAAATTTATTTAAAGATAAAAATTCATTTAAAATTAATTTATTAATATTTTGTTAAGTAACTTTATAACTTTTATTTTCTTTTTAATTTATCAATTGAAAGTCAAAAAGTTTTTTGAAAAATATTACAAAATAAGTTTTAGATTTCATTTTCAATTTTAATTTCGAATATTAATTTATTTTCAATTTATTTAGAAAGAAAAAAAGTCAAATGATTGATTTATTATTATACTTTAAAGAAAACTTTGTAACTTTTATTTCATTGTCATTTTGTAAATGAATGATTATAAAGCTTTTTAAAGAAATATTATATAACAAGCTTTAGGTTTTAATTTTCAATTTTAATTTGAATGATTAATTTGTTTTAAATCTTTTTGAAAATAAAGATTAATAAAAGATTATTTTATTAGTAAATTCTAAGATCTTTTTATAACTTTTGTTTTATTTATATATAAGAAATAAAAGGTTATGAAGTTTCTTTAGAGAATATATATAAAGACTTTTTAATATTAATATAAAAGAACTTAATGAAAAGAACTTGGTTATTTAAAATTTATTTAAAAATAAAATCTATTGAAAATTAATTTTCTGATATATTTTGAAAGAACTTTATAACTTTTGTTTTATTTTCATTTTATGAGTGAAAGGTTAGAAACTTTCTTAAAAAATACTATATAATTTAATTTTAGATTTTAGTTTTCAATTTCAATTTAAAATATTAATCTATTTTCAATTTATTTGACAGCAAAAATAAATTAAAAACTAATTATTAACAGTTTTTAGAAAAACATTATAACTTTTAATATAAAATCAAAGGAACAATTATTCATAATAATAATAAGAAAGATTTTAAAACAAATTAAATTAATGAATCTAAAAAAGAATTTAAATTTAAAAAAGAATCTAATAATATAAATCTAAAGGATTTAGACCTATAACATAAGTATTTAAATCATATAAATAAAGATTATATTATATAAACACTAAATTTAAAAAATTCTAAAATAAACTCAAGTTATTATAAAGCCTATATATATAATAAAATAATCTAAAATATTAATAAATCCCTTTCGAATTTGAAATTCAACAAATTTGATAAAATTAGTACTAATATTTATAAATCATTTAAAATATCAATATTAAAAGAATTTTTGATTATTACTTTCACTAATTAAACTATATAAGATACATGAGTATATTTCATAAAATATAAATCAAATGCTTTTGATATACTAAAAGAAGTATTTTATCTGATATATAATCAATTTAATATTAAAATAAAAATAATAAGATTAAATAATATCAAAGAATATAATTCTAATCAATAGAAAATATTCACTAAATTTAAAAGAATTATATTGGAATATATTAATCTTTATTATTATTCTCAAAATGAAATAGTCTAAAAATTAAATAGATATTAATAGAAAGAATATTAATATTTATAAAAAATAAAAATCTATTAATACTTTTATAACCTAATATATTAAAGGGTATAGTTTATATTAAAAATAGATATTATAATAAAACGATAAATAGCTCATCCTTTAAGTTATTATATAATAAAGAATCTTATATAAATCATATTAAAATTCTAATTTCTTTTTAGATATATATTAAAACATAGAGAAAAAAGAGATAATAAACTTGATTATAAATCAGAAAAAGAAATTTTAATAGGATTTAAATTATCTAGGAATTTAATATTTCATATATCTAATAGGAATAAGATAAGAAGTTTTATTAATTTATTATTAAAAAGGATATATTATATTATAATAATAATATTAAAAAAGACTTATTAAAAGAGTTCAATAAAAACCCTAATACTAATAATCAAAAAGAAAAGGTAAATATATATCATAATATATATAAAAATTTAAATAAAAAACATGATTTTAATAATTCTAATATTAATATTAGTAATAAAAATAAATTAATAATTGAAATATGATTTAATTCTAATTTGCTTAGTTTTATATCACAGGTTTAATACATAGTTATATAAATGCCTAAGATATCCACCCTCTATATAGTCGATACCTCTTCACCTTCTTCTTTACTCTTTATAAAATATTATATATTTTATCTAATATCTATTTCTTATATTATAATAATATATTTTATTCTATAAAAAAATCTTATTATAATAAAAACAATTCAATTCTAAAAAGAAATTCTTTGTTTTTATTTTTATTTGTTCAAGGTAGATTCTTTTATAATTTTTACAATCTTTTATACCTTTTGTACTTTTTCGTTTTTGTTTTTATCTTCATTTTCATCTTTGTTTTTGTTTATATCTTTATTTTATTCTCTTTTCTTATTATAGCTAATATACTAAATACTTCGAATACTAACTCATGATTATCTATTTTACTTAAAATATTTAAAGCTGAAATCAACAATACTTTTAATTAATAATAATAAATTATAGGAAAGCTATCTAATCTTTAAAATTATAAACTTTAAAACCCCTTTCCTTTATTAATATTAATATAAAATTATCTTAATTATCTATATAATATTATTAATTATATATTTGATTTGTTTTTTATTATTTAATAAATACTTAAACAAGATTTAATTATAGAATATTTTTTAAGATTATTATAAACAATTGATTAAGTATTTAACTTCAATTAACTTGATTATTATAATCTCAAATCATATAAAATATATTAAGTATTTTTATTTAAAATGAAATTGATTGATAATAAATTTTGAAGAATTCTAAGCTTTTTGGAGGGGAGAAAACAAAATTGATATTTTAATAAAAGAAATACATTATTTGGATATAAGGCTTAAAAATCTATTAAATAATTAATTCAATTATTTTCGATATAGAAAAAAAGAAACTTTTATATTTAACCTTTTTTATTAATAATTGTATATATTAAAAGAAATTAATTAATATATATAATATTGAAGGTAATTTTCTAGAATATAATAATATTAATATTTTAATAATAGTGAAAGACTTAGTTACTTTAGCTTGAAGGACAAATCGAATATAATATAAGAGTTGAATTGAAAACAAATTATAAAAAAGAGCTTGATTGAGTTGAATTTACTTGCTTTTTTTTATTTAGATTTTCTTTAAAGAATATTCTAAATTTATATAGTTTATAATGAAATTCTAATAGTTTTTATACTTATAAATAAGATCGATTTAAATCGAATCTTATAGAATTATTTTATATTATAAAAGAAAAAATATAATTAATTAATTTAATTAATTTATAAACAATCTTTTATATGATTTCATCTCATTCTACTTCATTATAAATCAATTTGATAAGAGATATTGCTATATTATAATATGATAATGTAATTCTATAATATAAAATCATATTATATATATATTATGAAAACACGAAAAAACCAAGGAAAGATTTTCTTGGAAAAACTCATTAATCTTTATTATATTCGAATCAGAATATCAATTTCTATTTTCTTTTGAAGTTATTGAATTGATATTCATTTAGATTAAGGAGACATTGTTATTAATATTGAGGAGGGAGGTTTAATATATCTATATTAAAATCATTATTATTGATATTATTAATAATAAATTTATTATATTAAATATAATTAATAGAAGAGATTAAACTATAAATTCCTATAATAAACT